GTTGTAGGAATTTAAGTCATTAAAAATTTTAAAAAATACCTATTCTAAATCAGACAATACCAATTGTAACGAGCAATATTTTCACTTATTTAGAACCTCAAATACAATTTTTTTTTTAAAAAATTTTATTTGAAGGGGAAAAAAAAAAAAAAAAAAAAAAAAAAAAAAAGGCTCTCAAAGGTGCCGACAAATGACGTCATCTATTGTTCTCGGGGAAAACAATGGGTGTACAGGTGTGCGGCGGTACGGGCTCTCAAAGGTGCCGACTAATTACGTCATCTAATGTTTCCGGGAAAATGTGCAATGGGTGCACAGGTGAGATGCATTCCGTCATGGTGACGTCACACCTGACCTACCGTAACCCCCCTGGCCTCGGCGCCCGTGGGGACTGCATTCAGGTACATCCAAGTGAATCTCGTGACGTCATCCCCCTAGTTGACGACGTCACATCATTGAACCATGACCAAAGGGGTAAGCCGCTATGACGTCATACCTGAACCTACTACAGCTGGACCGTTACACACACACATACACACACAATCNGATACACACACACACATACACACACAATCCCTATGACGACGTCACGCTAACGCTAACTCTGTGCTATGAAAATGTGAGCCTTAGATGCCCTATCACGTCGTGATTGTGTCGTGCGCATTGACGCTTGTGCCCGACCGGTGCGAACGCGCCCTATGACGTCATACCTAAACTTTGTTATAGTGTAAGCTCTATGACGTCATACCTGAACCTACTACTACAGTTTGCTCATTACATTACAACCTTATGACAACACGCTAACGTAACTCTATGCTATGATAAGGTGATCCCAATGACGTGTCCTATCAAGCCGTGATATAAAAAAAAATATTTTATATTGTGTCCCGTTACACAATTCCAACTATATAATATATATGTTAGTTGGGTCGGTCAAAAAAAAAAAAGTTCATTTTCCAGAGTACCTACACGCTAACGGTTCAACGTACGTATAGTACGCGTCGAGTCCGCGCGTTTGATGTGTCACAACCCTATATACAGCCGTGCCAATTCACCCCGACGTTTTCGTTTATGTTTAAGTCGATTTTTCGTAAATGATGAATACCCCTTCCATGTGGTTCCGCTACACATTCCAGACATTCCGACAGTCGTTGTGTTTGATAAAAAAAACCACTGAACACGTGCATAACGCGTAGGCGCAATATCTCACAGCATTACCACAAGGTCGTTTGTTGTTTACAACATTGATTCTGTGTGTCTATACTACTATATACCCTTTTACTGAAACATTGAAATACAATATTCGGTTTTTATTGATGCGTACCATCAATGTACAGTACAAATAGCCAAAGTCTGTTAATCTTGAAATTAATGTGTTTGTTATTTTAAAATATAACCGATTACTGAACACATATCTATAATAAAGGTAACACTTGTGACTGCAATATTATTGTAGTGTCCTTCCACGGTGGACGTCAATCGCACGAAATATTTACCACGAATTTGCGAGTGACCTGAAGAATTCACTGTACGTTTGTACAGCAAACACAATGGACAGTATCAGCGACAGCACAACCGTCAAAACGTTGTGGGAGCATATTAAACAGATGGACGCTTCGCGTATCGGATTATTTTTTTGCATAACGGCTGCAACAATCTTTTTGATTTTAATGCATTTCACACAAACCGTTGACAGTAGCAGATATCAGATCGTAAACAGTAGCGACAGCGATAGCGGATACGACGATGCGGATGACATCGATAATTTAAAAAATAACTTGTTTGTAATAACTAATCGTTTGGACGCGCTCGGTCGAGATTACATAGCAATCGATGATCGTGTTTTTATATTGGAAAAACGTATTGAAACAGTATAACGAACGTGCCATTAAAATGTCAACGGGTGTTATTTAAACAAAATAGCTGACAAACGAAATTAGACTAATAATGTTTTTTTTTTTTAATGATTTTCAAGATAGTAATATAAATATTACAAATTATATCGTACTTTGATAAATTGAATAATTAATTATTTTTATATGTGAAACTAAAAAAAAAAAAAAACTCATTTAATATGTAAAAAAATTTACTACACTAATAAATTTTTCAAAAATTTAAGAGAGTCGTAGTATTTTCACGCGTTGAATGAAATCTACAAAAAAAAAATCAGACCATGTGTGACTTTAACTAGCTTTAGTGTCCACACAAAATTAATTTGCTCAGTTTAATCATTCCACTGATTGCGACTTACGCTGTTGTTTGGTTATACGTTTAGTATCAGTGTGTATTTGATCAAAAATGGACAGTGAAAATAAAACGTATAAGGCGTATGAAAATCGTCTCAATGAAAATTCAGGTAAGAAATTAAAACTGTATGTTACAGTGCGATACTATCTACGTGCAATTACTTTTCAATTAATTTTTTGTTCAGGATATGATGTTTGTGGAATTTACTGTTCGACGTCTTATGACCAGCAGCCTAGAATTAAACTCTCTAAACACAAAGAGTTTGCCGATTATAACATTCGTTTAAAGACTTTTGAAAACTGTCCAAAAAAATTGGAATCAAAAATATCAACACTTTGTGATGCTGGATTTTTATACATAGGTATGGGACTATATATTATTAAATGTATTTTTATGATTCGTACATTTATTCAAATACTTTATTTATAAGTGTATATAATTTTTAGGTAATGGACAAAATGATCAAATGTTATGTTATTGTTGCAGTCAAGGTTTGAAAGATTGGGATGAGGAAGACGATCCATGGGTAGAACATGTACGTTGGTCTCCTAGCTGTACACATATATTGTTATGTAAGGGTCAGTTATCTTTCCAAAATAATAAAATAACTAAATAAGACTACTATTATTTGTTATTTTGATTTTCATATAAATAATAAATCAATGTTAATCTTATATATTATTGTAGTTTGAAAAAAATTAATGAACATTTTTAATATTGTATCTTGTGTGTTATATGAAATTTAATAGCAATTTTCGATTTAGTAAAAAATGTATTATACTACTACATTCATAATTTTCATAATCTAAGAGGGTTATTGTATTTACAAGCGTTCGTATCTACCAAAAAAAAAAAATCAGACACGTGTGACTTTATCAGCTTTATTGTGTTCCGAATTATGTATATATACATTTTTTTCCAACTTAAAAGAAAATCAACAAAAATATTGCTTAAGTTGCGTTTTTTTTTTTTTTACACCTAAATCATTATATCCAGTAAATATTCTATACATTTTTTAACGCTGAATTACGTTATACATTGCAACATTTTTGATCCCCACTAGTAAGTTATTGAATNTTTACATTGCAACATTGTTTGCAACATTATTGATCCCCATTAGTAAGTTATTGAATTCATAGGGACTTTTATCCCAAACAATTAACTTCATTGTGTTTAAAAATATAAATTTTTACTATATAACTGTAGAAATAACCCATTATCTGTTCATTCACTTTTTGGTGTTTTTACGGTGCTATTCATCATATACTACTACTGTTTTTCACGGCCATTCTTGTGTATTTTCAACAGTCATTTAATTGTAAGTATAATTTTTTTAAATTGTCATAATGTCTTAACCCTTCAATGCATTTATTTATTTTTAAAAATCGATAATACTGATAAATTTCACAAAGTTTTTTCATAAATAAAATTTGTTTACTATAATTCGAAATATTTATATTAAGTATATTATCAATATATTTATAAAATTATAATATTTTAAGTAATACAAATACGAATTTTTAGGTCATTAAATATATTCAAAAACCCGATCCAGTGTCTTTTTAAAGTATATTTCTGTTTTCGTGTATTGAACCAAAGTAAGTTATTATCTAACCACCACTATTCAGTTATAAATGTACTTATAAGTTTACAATAATTTTAATCATTCAAAATGAAATTACCAAAGAGTTAATTTTACACTTTCCACCTCACTGTATGTGTAAATATTGTGATTAACAAATACTTACATGGTTAGTGTAAATTAAGTGTTGTATATATAGTTTTGTAAATATATTTGAATATTATAAATTATTATGTTGAAAAATGTTAAATAAATATGTAAATATGTTGTATTAATGGTATGTGTGTGCACTCGTTTTAACTAACTTAAAAAAAAAATGTATTTATTTCCTTATTAAATAATCTAATGGCAACAATGTAGTAACTATCAGGCGTTTGTCACATTTTTAGCGGGTGAATGTGTTAGTATTTATTATGTTGTAAAGGTTAAAGATTATCGTCTTGTGTAAAACATATATGTGTGTGTGTGTGATACGCTCCGCCACACACTCAATGATTTCTACAATATATGATGACGAATAGTTTGTAAACAACTGTATTATTAAAGAAAAAAAAAACAACTCAGTTTATAAATGGTTAGAGGAGTACACATAGCTGTAGGAGTGCATCGACTGTATTGTAGCCTAGTAATTTATCTTAAACAAAAAACAAATAGAGAGAGGAGAGGGGTAGTATGCTATGAGAGCATACCGATATGTATATCAGATTAATGGTCTCGTGGCAAGCGGATGGAGGTGACGAAAAAAAAAAAAAATTTCAAAGCACTAACAGCATCAGTTTTTGAGTTACGTGCAATTTTCGGGGAATCTGTATTACGCGGTATCCTCCTCCGTGTGATGCTGTGGCTGATGGTAGTAATTATTGTTAGAAATGTACATATCAGTGTCGAGTTATACACCATTAATACGACATTCACCATATATATATATATATAGTTTACTCACGAATAATTTTGGTGTGTAGAAAATGGAACAATTAAAACAAAAAATGAATAATCAAGCCAAAGGCATGGAATACATTAAAATGTCTGACCTGGTAGAGAATCATGTCTATCGAATGGTTTCAATGAAAAATTTGACAACGAAAAATGGTGTTGTGGTGGTGGCACGAATACCCGACAACCGACAAGTTTTTGTCCCCAGAATACAGTTGACGGACGATGAAATTAAAACGTACAACGACGGCGACACCAAAATATCACTGTGTTACAGAGGAAAAACAGAAAATGCTTATNGTTACAAAGGAAAAACAGAAAATGCTTATTCATTTGACTTTCAATAAAATTTTTTTTAATGTATTAACTTTACTTTTCTTTTACAATCAACAAAATCTGTTTATATTTTTTTTCTTATGATTCGTGTACAACAAATTAAATGGAATTAAAATTATATAGTTCGTTCACAATCTATTTGTGTTTACATTATTACTCCGATAGTATAGAACCTAATATTAGTATATGACAAATGTAAATTATACTTTAGATTAATATTATAAAATTAATAGTTTTTCAAATTGGTGGAAAATGTAAAAACAAAAATCACAATAGCAATACTTAAGAGTAGATTTCAAGAAAAACAAAAACTTATGTATTGAAGTTAAATTTCTACACACCATTGATAATATAATCCGTTAACAGTCCAGTAATGTTTACTCCAATAGTAAAAGTACATTGAACTGAATAGTTGATTATAGAGGTGGCCATACACACGTTTAACTAATGTATTA